GACAAAAGAAAGAATAGACTTAAAAACAGGATTTGACAAAACAACACAAAACTTTACTAGGCGGAATAGGGCGAAACACTACAAGCAGATCGTGTTCTTACTGTAGTGAGCGAGTATGGTTTTACGCCGCTTTTAGCAATATTCCAGCAACATCAAGGCAGGGAACACCAGGTAGGGCTTCACACATTGTACCCATATGGGGATCGAACCCGGGTCTTCGACGTGACGAGCGTACGGTTTAACCACTAGGCTACCCCACCGCCCCTTACAACTCTTACTGTAATATCACATAACAAAAACAATGGATTCATATATCTATTCCTTGTTTTGTCATGTTTTAACCTCCATCGTAGTGTAGAGTTGTTAAGTTCCTACGCCAGTAGATACATTTAGTCATACAGACTTGCATTTGCACTTAGGGTCCTTACTGACTGATTACTTTCTATACGTTCCGTGCCGATTTGCAGGGCAGGCAGATGTTTGACATTAAACACAAAGCACTCTCTCAGCCTTGAGCTCACAATCGGGAAAATAATTGGGTTTTTTAGGTTAAACTTTGAGCAGATAGTAATAATGATAATAATAATGAGTATAACTCGATTCTAAAATAAAAGCTTGAGTATCCGTCACTCTCACTGTGCTACTGTCTATAAACGAAATTGGGTTTTTACTGATGATAGCAAGTACAGGGAGCATCATGTACGGTTACGGTGGCTAAATTCTCTTCCATTTTAATCATAATTCGTTAAAAAAAAGAATACAAGTTTTCCTCCTTTCGCGTGGACAATGCGTAATGGATGTCCGATATCAACTCAGTCAGTATCCCTATTACTGGCCGTTTTCTCAACAAGGTGACACAAGTTATCTCCCTTTTATTTTACTCGTACCGTGAGACTGACTCATTGAAAATGCACTCATAGATGTGGAAAATATGCGTCGCGCATGTTTTGGGTTGAGTAATCGGGTTTAACACCTTTTTCAACAATAGTCCTATATAATAGTCAGCTTAACGTTGGAGGAAAATCCTAAGTAATACAGATCTCAGACGTATTCCACTTGAAACCTAAGCACGGTATGTTTCTGACAAACCTGGCAAAATAATCGGGACGACCCGCGAGTTGAACCCACAATTATAGGTTCCTAGCGTGCCCAAGGGACGCAACCCTGCACCGCGAATTGCGGCACCTTAGATCACTAGTCTACCCTTGTCTCCACGCATGCCATGGACGATACGGGAGTATGTACAGGTACAGTTTACCAAGTGCACACTGACGATGAACACCTGACAGCAACGTGCATTGCAGTGTTACATGATTCTTTCACCACGCGCATCTAATGTTGTTTCCGCGACATCTAAAACTGCACGTGCAACGGCTTGTTTCATTCCGACATAGGTGTGGCTGTTTGTGTTTGGCTCCTCATCAGCTTTAATTTTTTTATGTCAGACAAAGAACCCCAAAAGCGCATTTTCGTCAAAATAATACTAACCGCACCCTTATGCATTATAAGTCACAAACACATTCTCTCTCGATCTGTCGTCGTGATATAATTGTTCTTCGCTCTGCACTTAAACCTCCATCCAAGCACAGTGAGAAATCTCACGCGTAAATGTCTTGTGCCACACAGTACCTACTAGTGGTGGTCCGAAATAATTGAAATAATCGAAGATTGGTCGCAGTGACTAAACGACCAAGCAATCGAACATGTTTTCTCATAATCGAACGCAACCAGTCTTGGAACACTTGTTGCATCAACAATATTTTTCACAAGGTTGCTTTTGTCTGTGTCATTAAATTTACATTTCATAAGCACAACAAGCTCGTTCCAAGTCATGATTGAATTTATCTAAAGAATCCAGGAAGTCTGTGTTCCTTACATACTAATAATCCTTTAAATATGCAAAATTTGCAAATGGATTTTGTTTAATTGGCAAAAAAAACGAAAATACTACATGTTTTTTCTTTACTTTTTACAAAGACAACAGGAACATTTGATAAATGATGCTAACCAATTATTTTCGATGATTGATCGGTTGTAATGGACCAATCATCAATTATGAGATTTTAACCAATTCCCAACACTAGAACATACAACCCCTCAGAGGTTTCAGCCATGCCGATCGTTCTTTTTTCACCTTAAACATGAATTCTGATTAGCTGAAACCGATTTCATCATTTTACATTACTGTAACCCGCTCAAATTGCCGAACTGTTGACATTACATTGACACCATACCAACCGCAATATTGTATCTCAAATTACCTATGTCATTCCATGAATATTTTACGATTATTTCCGAATGTAAGAGATCAAGGGAGAAGTTGGGAAGCAAGAAACACACGATTCTTTAACATATTTAATACCGATGGGGATATATTATGTCAAATCATTATATGACCAGGCTTAAAAAACTATTTTCAAATATAGCGCTTTATATGTACACTGAAAGGAAGAAACGCTTTTTATCGTATCATCACATAGACGTCATCATTAGGTATGTACATGTATTATTATTTGATATGTTATTGGGGGCGGTGGGGTAGTCTAGTGGTTAAAGCGTTGGCTCGTCACGCCGAAGACCCGGGTTCGAATCCCCACATGGGTACAATGAGTGAAGCCCATTTCTGGTGTCCCCCGCCGTGATATTGCTGGAATATTGCTAAAAGCGGCGTAAAACCAAACTCAGTCAGTGATATGTTATTATTTGAAGGGTTCAGAGCATAATGATATAGGAGTTTGCAGTCTTTCTTGATAACGAATTATTAAACAAATACTCGAAGTGCTCTTAAAGTGGAAATAATTATTGACTAAAGCGCTCCTTAAATATTTGCATGCATTCCGTATTTGGGTCTGCTGGGAAACGTCCATCTTGGTGACGTGCAAACTGAGGTAATACACCCTCGATTATCCAGTTTAATATACCCCTGTTATAATGAATGATGTCTGATTGATCTGGTTCAGGGAATGCATCACAACAGGCTGGAAACATGACCCGCTGAAGAATCGGTGAAATGCGCAGAACTGTGTAATGTCATGAGTGTGATACTGGAGCCTCCAGACGAGCATTTTATATATAAAATAACAATGTGTCGTCCCGTGTTAATGACACAGCCAGATATCACATGATATACTACCCATGAAAAGTTTAGACTCACTAGTGTAAACTAGATTTTGCAAAATATTCTATACAGTTTAAGGGTACTGTTTACACATGAACCGATGTATGGTAAAACAAATTCGTAACTTTGAAACGATTATGATCATGAGTTCAAGAAATCATGAAACTGAGTGAAAATTGGCGAATTCTTAACAAAACTTTACACCAAAACGCAGCTGTTCACATGCACGATATTTGCACATGCTTTTCAGAAAACTGATGCATGGTCTTCGTGCAATTCATCTGCTTATGGTTTGCAGATGGGTCCCCTAAGTTAGTGGAGAAATTCATCTTTGATGTAACCGTATATATGCATAACATATAGTGAGTGCTTTAAGTGAGTCTAAATTATTTGGGGTGGTGGGGTGGGGTGGCCTAGTGGTTAACCGTCCGCTCGTCACGACGAAGGCCCGGGTTCGATTCCCCCACATGGGTACAATATGTGAAGCCCATTTCTGGTGTCCTCCGCCGTGATATTGCTGGAATATTGCTAAAAAGCGGCATAAAACCATACTCACTCACTCTACATGGGCACAATGTGTGAAGCCCATTTGTGGTGCCCCCCGCCGTGATATTGCTGGAATATTGCAAAAAGCGGCGTAAAACCAAACTCACTCACTCACTCTAAATTATTTATTTTTAAACTTTTGATGGGTAGTGTAGAATAACATGCCAATACACCAGAATCTTGAAGAGAAAATGTATGCATTTCATTGAGAATCGGTATACCAAGTGGTTTATGTCAACTGTGCATATTTGTTTTCAGAAAATAGTCAGTAAATAGTAATACTTACAGCAGCGCAATAGCGTTTCCCAACAGGATGTTTGGACGTACTGACGAATATACAGAGCCGATGTCACATTCAAACTGGTTAAATATATGTAGTTTCAGTCTCGTAATTAATAGTTAAATTTTAAAGATAAAGCTTATTTCTTTTACTTTTATCAAAAAAACACAGAGGCCCTCAGATGTTATATTGAATGAGTGAGTAGGCTTTTACGCCGCTTTTAGCAATATTCCAGCAATATCACGGCGGGGGGGACATCAGAAATGGGATTCACACATTGTACCCATGTGGGGAATCGAACCTGGGTCTTCGGCGTGACGAGCCAACGCTTTAACCACTTGGCTACCAACATATGATAACCGGAGTGTCATGTTTTGGAGAAGACATTTAAGGGAAGAAAGGGTTTGGTTTATCATTTTATCTATTTCTGTGTTTTGAAGTAATAGTCCATGGGCCAGATGCCAGAAATAGTGGTTGTCGGTACCAGATGGAGGCGCTAAATAACATTATGTTTTATTGAAGTATGATATGATACGTTATGCTTGAAATATGATAGACATCTGTATTAGGCAGCGTTTTAAACAAAATAGATGTAACAAATGGGTACCCTAATTATGGAATCTGGTGTCCCCCGCCGTGATATTGCTGGAATCTTGCTAAAAGCGGCGTAAAACTTAACTCACTCACTCACTATTTATGGAATCCAGAAGATTTATTACGCGTCCAAGTATGATAGAGTGTACATTATCTATATTTAAAGCCGACATATGGTATATTCATGATACAACACACCTATGTAAGCACGGCTTGTGTTTACAGATATGCCGAAACACTCGTAATCTATATAGTAAACACACGCACGATGTTCTCCGTGGCCATGTAACGTGATTGGAACTCATTAGCGTTCCTTCTTTTAGTTGATACATCTTTGATTAATATCATATTCCTGGTCCACGCGACCTCACGATCCAACAATGCGATGACGTAATCAGCCCGAGGGTAGCGTTCTAATCCTACGCGACAATCAGACCGTCACGTGACTTCACAGTTCGGGAGCCCGTCGCCAAGGACGCTATAGCGGCGAAGCTCAGCTCGGACCACGATGTAAACCAACTGCTCGGGAGACCCACGGAAACATGGCTACGGTAAAGGCTGTCGCCCCTCAGGAACCCGAGAGACAGACTCAGGGGGACGGGGCCAAAGGTGACGGGAAGCGCAGGGTGAGGATTCGCCATTCATCTGACTCCCAGGCCTATATCCGGGGCCCCCGACACCCGTGGGAGGTAAGTTGTTATTGCTGTGACAAGTGTTCATTGGGATATAATCATATGAACATATAATATCTTCAAGGTTTCATGTGTATTATAAGAATCAAATATATACATATCGATTTCAAATCTTATACTTTACAAGCAAACAACTAACGATTATATATATATATATATATATGTATGTATGTATGTATGTATGTATGTATGTATGTATGTATGTATGTATGTATGTATGTATGTTATGTAACTGTATGTATGTATGTACAGGATCTGTAAATGTTATGATTAGAATAATAACTGTATCTACAACAATATGTAAATGTTACGAACAGGTAAATAACTGTATCTACATCAAGTGTAACCATTTAAATATCTCGCCATCGTTTAATCATATCATTCATTTCAATCATTATTTTTTCATAATTTCTTTCATTATAAAAGAAAACGTTTCATATGCATGTCCTCAATTTTATAGTTTAATACGTATTGCATGTATTTACTTTGCGTTCAGATAAACGGGGAGTCAGACCAGGTAACACCAGTCTACAGCTGAGTAAACAAACACGTGTATATATGCATCTCACCCCAGTGCTGCTTCTGTCATAGAGACATAGTAACATCTCGTAGTAACTCATATAGAATGTTATACAACAGATTAACGGTTATCGGATTATATCATAGATTTTCTTTAGCCTGACAAATTTCTTTTGTATGCCTTTGTTAATTTACAAATATTTTCTGTTGTTACGTCATCTTTACATAGAAATGTCTGCATGATTTTCCGTAATTGTACTTTTCATATATTTTTTATTTAGATACGCTGATTAACCGATCTGATATTAATTTATCATATCTTGACAGCTTGGTAATGTCATCGATTTCATGCTGTAATGACGCCGCTGTTATAGCGTTATTTCATATTTCAATATTTTTAATATCAAATCATGTTTTTACATTTCTTTAGAATAGAATGTAAATGTAACTTCCGCATATGTCCAACTGCTTATGACTTAGTAACCCCAACCCCTGACCACACTTTCTCTCGACCCCCAAGACTAGTAGATCGATGGGGTATACCCTACCCTCGCCCTACCTGTCTAGTGCAGTAAATGTTTAGCTTATCATGTCCAAACACTCGAAGGGTAAATTAATTTAACTGCCCACGATTCGAGAGAAGGACTACACGACTGTGTAAATGTTGTCAAACACAAACATTGATATGAATCATCCCAACTTCCACTCGTAGTGCCCGCTTTTCACAGCTTTATCCCGAGGTTCAATGGCGACAGTCTTCTCGCTGGTAGAGCATTAACTGTTATGAACATTTATTGGCAAGTCTATACCGTAGAGTAGCGTTGTTAGCAAATATTCATAATAACCATATACATGTATATATATATCGGTATTCGTGACGTTTATTACCCTTCAAGGGTCACTCTAAACACAGTTTCAATACCTCACAGTTGTAAGTGGTCATAACTGTGACTGGACAGTGTCTGTGTGCTTAACGTAAACAAGCCTGACATGATATCAATATCTTCACAGGCACAGATAGATTCATAAAGCGGCAAATATTTGCAGAAATCACTTGCATTTATACTCATTATATGCACATTTAAATAATATAACAAGCGCACATTCGTACCCATTCCAGTGGAGATAAAAGGTGTCCCTTCTGTGACATACATGCATGCATGCATATATGTGTTCGTATATAGGTGTTAAGTGGAAAGGGCAGTGTACGTAATATGTACTAATCGAATTTTCATTTAAAATTACAATGACATTTTTTTTTCTAAATTTTTCTCGCGATTTTTCATATAACGCTGGGTGCTGAAGTTTCTTAAGATATACCTGCAACAATAATTCATATGCAATGGTGGCTAAAGTAAACATTTTACATATTTCTGAATTAAAAACACTACATTACATATATACGTGAGTGAGTATTGGTTTACGCCGCTTTTAGCAATATTCCAGCAATATCCCGGTGGGACATCTGAAATGGGCTTCACACATTGTACCCATGTGGGGAATCGAACACCATACATGAGAAAGCTTCAGAATGAAATGCTGTGTCATTGAACCCTAGCTGGTAGCCTGCTATATATTTTTGGCCCGCTTGTACAGTGAATTATGCATAGAGCTTGTATCACAGTGCACAAAGATCAGATCCGACACCCAACAAGTGTTCATTTAGCAGCATCTGATCTCGTACACAGACACGACAGTGACGCTTGTGAATAATACATTCGTAATTACTGTATATCTCGCACGGTCCCACAAGCCCGTTATATGACGTGATATGGTAAATCCTGATTATCTGTATGCATTATATAACAGTATGAGAATTGGTAACCTTTGTAACATCAGTGCGTGGGACCAGCTTACCTGTAGACTGACTGACTGACTGACTGAGTTTGGTTTTACGCCGCTTTTAGCAATATTCCAGCAACATCACGGCGGGGGACACCAGAAATGGGCTTCACACATTGTACCCACTTACCTGTAGAGCGTGGGGCTCGTTGCGTTTAGCTCAGTCGTGTACAGGTAAAACTGACGATTGCAGGGATAATGAGCAAAATTCGTTATAGTCTGAATGGTTTCCACAAAAATTTTGAAATGAAAAACACGTGTGAAATATACATACGATTTTTGTCTAGAAACGTAACATTATGCATTTCGGTATAATATAGGCTAGACAATGTATTTGAGAAGAACACGAGAACATTTCATAGCATCAAATTGATACTTTTAAATCCATGTCATTTTTTAGATTTTGCTTGTGATATTTTCCTATGCATTGTTTTCATAATAACTGCTAAAATGCACACAAAAAGAAAATTCGATTAAACAGAATAATGAATTAAAGAACAAATTTCAGACGTAGATGAAAGTGAATATTTTTTTTTAGATTAGAAATTCAAGTACAGTAATGCGAGCAGTGGACATTTTATGACGAAATATCCCAAAACATTAACCCCTAAAGATTACTGACCAAGAGGCACAGGCTCAACAAACATGGGAAAATATGGTTACCTAATATTACTCATGAAACCAGATTTATACACAATGTCACGGATGTTAACTAATGGTGTAACGTTACGTACTGGCAGAGAGGCCACTGCGGCATGGTATCTCAGTGGGCTAGCACTATAAAACCAGCTTCAGTCTGGGCTAGTACAAGCAGCCGCACATACACATACACACGCATGCACGTCGTCATATGAGCGAAATATTCTCAAGCACGACGTTAAACCCAATTTCACCTCACCTCACCTCACTGGCAGAGAGGCGTCAAAACAGTTGAAGCAGTTGTTGGGTTAGTCAAGATTAGACCACGACAACCTAGCGTGGTAACAGAGAGGCAGACCCGGACCACTGATCAGGGTATTATATTGCAGGTATTGTCGGTAGATCGGATCCCAGTCAACCGTTAATTTTCGATTATATAAGTATCGGAATAAAACATTGTCCAGATCTGACCTATAGAGCTACTATTGTTCCGTGTGTTTTGTATAGAGAGTGCCTTATTAAGTGTTAAACATAGGTACTTGAGTCTTCTCACGATCTACTGTTTTGACATGATGCAGAGTCACCTGTTTTCGTGTAGTCTACCTGATAACAGACATCTATAGTAAGGACGTACGACAGGTGTACTGTAGTGTGAATAGTTTGTCTCATACTCCCTGAACTGCATAATTTTCCCTTCCCCAGCCCTTTCTGCAGTGCTAAAGCCCTACATGAAGCAAGGGGCGGTGGGGTAGTCTAGTGGTTAAAGCGTTGGCTCGTCACGCCGAAGACCCGGGTTCGAATCCCCACATGGGTACAATGAGTGAAGCCCATTTCTGGTGTCCCCCGCCGTGATATTGCTGGAATATTGCTAAAAGCGGCGTAAAACCAAACTCAGTCAGTCAGTACATGAAGCAACTCTAGATTTCCTCAGGTCTAAATCTCCTATTTCACTGTGTCTCCTTTAAGTTTAAAAGGAATTGTTTCTATCAAATTAGGGGCGTTGGGGTAGCCTAGTGTTTAAAGCGTTCGCTCGTCACGCCGAAGGTCAGGGTTCGATTCCCCACATGGGTACAGTGTGTGAAGCACATTGGTATTGCTGGAATATTGCTAAAAAGCGGCGTAAAACCAAACTCACTCAATCATTCTATCAACATTATATACATTCGGAGACTAAGAGTTAGACTATTGTGTGAACTGCTGGTATCTTTATAGCTTCATAACAACCTAACTTGGCCATCTCGTACTTGTCTGTCTCCTTGACTCTAGATGATAAAATAAGACAGGAATTCTCAACCGTTGAATGATTTGGCAAACCAAGATTAAGCATTGCTGGGCATTGGTCTGATTTGGCATTTCGTAGGTATATACTTCTTAAATTTGGTTGTTTATGGCACAACTAAATGTTATGTTTCGTACTTTGATTTTTGTTGGTAAAATACTTTATTTTTCTTTATAAGTCTAAATAGAAAGCGAAATTAAAGCAAAATTGGGAAACAGTGACATATGTTTTGTTTAAAAACGAATTTTGTTTTCGTTTATGAAATCCCGCGCACAAAGTATGTGAAGTACAGACATGTATATGCCATGTTACAGGTAAGATATGTTTGGGATTACACTTTCTTAGAAAAGTAAAGATTCTCCTACGTGTTACCTGTCTGATTTTGTGAACTGTTTCAACACTGTCTTGACATGCCCGGTTTGATTCTGGGCAATATGTGTTTGTTCAGTTGTTAAACGCCCACTTAGCAATATTCCAGCTATATCACTGGCGGTCTGTAAATAATCCGACCAAAACCAGACAGAGCAGTTGTCATTATAAACGACGTCACGCGCCGTCGAGGTCAGTGAAACATTATTATCACGTCGCCAAGCCTAATCACCCAATCCACTTAGTCTCTGACCACAAGCACCAATCTACCCGTTTACCTGCAGGATCCTTGCAGGATTGGGATATCCATTATACGTTGTTATGCAATGCTGAAAATGCCACAAACTCGCCTTCCCTAGCAACGCTTTGGCTTGTCGCATCGACCCTACTGAGTTAGCGTAACACTTGCACGTCTCCCGGCAAAACCAAACACCCAGATCAATAACAATTTCTACCTGCTTTGTTTCGGGTGTTGATTTGAAAGAACTGAGATATACTCTTGAAGTGTTGTATCATGTTGTATGGAAATATTTGGTAGAAGCAATACTTGTAACCACATACACATATTAAAACCAGACGTATGTTAAAAAGCAGCGTTGACGGTAGTTTTATTGCCTTGAACACGAGAGGAATGGATACCTGTGGAAGGTAATCAATCGTGTCAATATGTACTAATCGAATTTTCAATTAAAATTACAATTACATTTTTTTCTAAATTTTTCTCGCGATTTTTCATATAACGCTGGGTGCTGATGTTTTTTAAGATATACCTGCAACAATAATTCATATGCATTGGTGGCTAAAGTAAACATTTTACATATTTCTGAATTAAAAACACTACATTACATATATACGTGAGTGAGTATTGG